TTAGAAACCGTTTGACAGATGACTCCAGTTCAGCATGCATTCTTACAAACTTAACATAAGTTATTTGTCATCTAATCTTAAACTACAGAAGTCACACTAATTTTACTTTAATTTAAATTACACGTATAATTTGAACATTGCAAAATGTTCCTATATTTTTGTAGTAAATAAATAATTTTGAGTTGATATTATTTATTATTGTTATTTTCCCCATAATCACAACACAAAATTATTTGATGGAACGTCTATGACCTGATTAAACTTTTCTTTATAAAAATGGCACGTCGATACGTGAAGGTTCGCCATCCCTGGTCTAGGCCATGTCGCTCGGTATTTAAATACAGAAAGGACGATATTTATGAATTTACAGATAGGGATATCAAAATGTTTATATCCAACAAATATATCTAAAATTATATTTATCAATAACAAATATTTGTTCGGTTGTTGGAATAATGAGAGTAATCATTGTGTAGGTACTTGTAACTTACCGCGGATAAGGCCAATGCCACAATCGCTAGTCCAAACTTGATAGGTACCGAGTCATGTTTTGTACTGTTTCTTGGGTCCCAGACGGAACAGCAGAGTAATATTAGTATTAAAGTTGCGAAGAATTCAGATAAAAAGCCATGAAATGAGCTTACATTTGGTGACACTACAGGTGAACATATTCCCGGTACAGGTTCGGTATTATTAATAAATACTTTTATGAATTCTGAAGGAGTTGTCGCCTGAAAGAATAAATTATTATGTTAATACAAAAGTAGCAATAAGACAGTAAATATGAGATTGTGATTATTCAAAAAAATCAAAAGTTTTTTAGATGTTTCCTTTTATTTTGCATTTAAATTTAAAAACAAATGAACTATCTAATAGCTTCAGTTTTCGTTTTCGAACAATACCTAATATTTTGAGGCATAAGGTGATACACTGTTATGTAGAGATAGTTCAGAATACCATGAACTATGTCCTTGGATTTCGCATTGACGAAACCCGCCCCCCATTAATTTCTACATTTCCACCTCCTAAAAACCGTTTAGCGAGTCACATGGTTAACTAAATAGCCAATGTTTTCGTAATGTACAATATGCATGTACGAAGTCTCACGAGCTTTCCGACGAGTTATACACGGTTGTAGGTTGATAAGCCATACGAAACAGGTAAATGCATTTTAAGAGCATACTTATTATTTAAAACTCTGAAAATGTATCCAATTTTGTATTTAGAACTCAAAATGGAACTTTAAGTAGTTTCCTTTCCTCCAAATGTTTGATGTACGTTGTACGTACTCTGAACGTAAATGCAATATAATGGATTCAGAAAAAAAACTCCTTCATCTTTAAAACTTAAAGGCATACTCATTAGCTACATTTATCAATGTGGCAACGCAATTTTGTTTAAAAAGATTTTATGTATAAGTTTTGAACCCGAATAAAGTAAACTAGTTTTTAAAACAAATTTATTTAATTACAAAGAACTTTAACGTAGTAGCTACTAATTTACAAAAAGATGCAAATAGCGTAATTAGATTAATCGCCTACGCTATGTAGTTCAACACTGAGGAGAAACTGCCCTGCCTTGGTATAAATACAGTTTGTGACGTCATTCGTTAAATAGATAAGGGCCCATTTGGTGATACTGTAACTTATATGTCTACGTTTCATTATCTTTCTTTATATTTATACTCACGTTGATGTCCTAAATAGGCAAATGTCAAAGATCTTCGACGACCACATAAAACTAATTTTTCTAGCCCTCGAGAACAGTATTTTTTTCGCGTATCCTGTCTCCTTTTTTATCCCTGACAATGTGCGTAAAAAATTTCATGATGAAGGGATGAGTAGTTAACACGTGAAATGATAATAAACAAACAAACTCACATTTGTATTTATATTAATTAGGATTAAATTGCTCGGGTTTAGGATCTAACGCACACAAATTATATCGTTATCTCTCCATTAATGATTTCAATATGGATTTAACTGAAAGATTGTTATTAAAAAGATTGTTATCAATTAAAATTTGCTATTGATGACGATGCTACAGTAAAAAAATTCAATCTTTAGGTACCCCAGTGCACTGGGTCACTGATAATGAGGAGTTGGAAAGTGCTATCCAAGTCCTTCATCACTGTCCTGTGCCTCACTTTGGGCTGTCACTTTCTACAAGCGGAAGACGTTACCATTCGCGACACTCCAAAGGTATTCTCCCTTGGGAAAGCTTCCTTTGGAGTTTGAACGAAAAGGTAACTAAAAGGGGAAAGCCAATGAATCACCCATTCCTTTGAGGGTCTAAATAAACCTTAATCCGATAACAATAATGGTAGTTTTATATGATTTCCAATGCAATTTACTAGACATCATTTGATTTTTAGAATTCTCTCTCTAAAGGTTCTTACAGATCTCAGCAAGAATACGTTCGAGACAAAACGAAGATGTCCTGTTTGTATCCTTAAGAACTCTGAACGAAATCGACCGAGGTAAAATAAACACGGCAGTAATCTATTTGGTCATTTTATATTAGCCTTTTCATATTAAAATAATTCAAAAACAGATCATTCAATTATTTTTTTTTGAATATCAAGATAAGAGCTATAACGTACCTTTAAGGCTCCGAACCCTGCGATTGCCCCAATAAATTGTCCAACAAAATAAACAGGAACTTCGATTAGAGGTAAATTTCCTAAAATAGCTGACGCTATTGTAACCACTGGATTAATGTGTGCCCCAGATATATGTGCAACACACTGAAACAATGAAAAGTAAAGTAAAAACACAAAACAAGTTAACAAGTATCAACCACTTTACAGTATATTAAATTAAAAGGAAAAATTGAATCGTCAGTGCTTATTATTAACTTGCACAGAATTAGAAAACAACGAATAATATTTTGCAACACAGAACTGTAAAACGGAAATTAGACTGAAAATTGAAATAAAGATCAGAGTTTAATTGNTTGGACTTTCAGCTTTCTATTTTCCTGAAATTTAACTTTGTAGAACGGTAAATAAATTTTCTATGGAAGTTCAAAGTGTGTATACATTTTTTTGAAGCACCCTGTATAATGAGCGATATGGAGACAGTGCATAGCATTCTCTAATAGTGTAGCCTTTCCCTGTCTTAACCTTTTGAGTCTAACCTAACTCAACTTTAATCGAATGATGCTTCCATTTGATTGACCAGGATCATATTTTATTTACGAGGACAACCTGTATTATTATATAAAGTGATTAAATTGTTTACTTGTTTATATGTAAAAGGCTATCACTAGAACTACCAAAACAATTCTAAAAATTCTTTGACTAAAAGAAAGTTATGATATCCTTGATACTATACTGGCAATTTTTCATTCTGATATAAATTAGCTTTCAGTTTGAAATTTTAATATTTGTAAATCAAAAGGCTAACGAAACGAGCACTGATGACTGGTTTTAAATAAAGCAAGTTTTTCACCAGAACCAATCTTAAAGAAACATCCTGGTGACATACAATAGCCTTTTATCTAGATTTCACCTTTATAGGTTGATATCTTCAAACAATTTTATTTGAATATGACTTAAAACATAACGTTTTCTGTAACTGTTAACTGTATATAGTGAAAATCTTTACATTATTCATTACATACTGGTTATTTGATAAACTAAATCAATATCGAAAACGAGGATATTTATACAACTAAGCAAATGAAGTAATTTGTTTACTTGTTACAATAAATGACTCGTCGAAATTATAATTTCTACAGAAATTCGACCTTATTTTCATTTACGATGAAATAACAATTGATTTTGTACCAATCAATAATTAAAACCTTATTACTGACATCGGTGAAAAAAAGAAGACTTTTAACGGAGAACTTAGGAGCAATATTGTATTCTGTATTGATCAAACCGGAGAATTATAAAGTTTTAAGTGGTTACTCTTTTTACTGCCCTGTCGAATTGCCTTTACCGTCATTTTGTATGTTTTGTTTAAAGTTCAAACTTACTTGAATGGCAAGCATCACACCACAACCAAAGCATATCGATACGGCAAGATGATTGGGTGCATTTCCGAAAGTTACACATCCCATGCATCCAACGTATACCAAAATAGCTGTTCCAAGGAATTCTGATGCACACAAAACCGTCCGGTCATAAATTGACAAATTATCCGTTAGAACGAATAATTTATCTACAAAGAAAAGGTCTTCTTATTATTAAAAATAACCCACTGCTTCAATATTTTTAGTGAAAAATAAAAAGTTGTGGCCCACGAAATACTAAACTACCTCTAACTTTTCTTTTCCCGTCCACGGTCTACGTATCGCACCCGTACAGAGTGACTGCAATAAAATTACAATGATACCTCCCTTTTGTGAAAAGCGTTGGGCATTCAAGAACAAAACTATGAGAAATTTTTCTGAAAAATTTCTGACTATAAAAAGCATGACAGCTGTACACCATTGCAACAAATCCAGTCCACTCTTTTTAATTACTGTCTATTCCGCTAAACTCGAATTAATCCGTATGAAACAATTGCAAGAAGTAAATATGAATTGACGGAAGTGTTTCGGTCCCAACGCGATAATGCATCCATGGTTATTTTCAGAAAACCTAAAAAAATTTGAAAAGAACTGGATAATGAAGTTAAGCAAATAAACCATCCGAAAATGTCTAACTTCATCTCATAATCGGAATCTATCACTTCATCTCTGAAAAATCGATTTTCCCAACACATAAAAAAGCATTTTCGCTGTATTTTCTGTGAATTCCCTTTCGTAATAAAGGGTGCACGTACACCCCCTGCTTGTACCCTATTGCTAACGTCCAAGGCATTTAGCGTAAATTAAATTTCATAAGTACTGGAGTGATGATACTTGGCTTTTAGTTGCTCATTGTACATGTCTATATTTTACAGAATAAACTTCTATGTTCTTATACAGGGTGCTTCAAAAAAATGTATACACACTTTGAACTTCCATAGAAAATTTATTTACCGTTCTACAAAGTTAAATTTCAGGAAAATAGAAAGCTGAAAGTCCAATGTAAATGAAACATAAATAACAAATGTTAATACTGTTCAAATTGGTGACCTACAGCATCAATACAATTCTGAGTACGAGTCACCACAGATTCTGTACATCGTATCAAAACGTGATACGTGAACCGGGATTTATGGGTAGCATCATTTGGTCGGATGAAGCCCAATTCAAACTTAATGGAACTGTCAATAGGCACAATTGTGTTTACTGGGGTGAAGAAAATCCTCACATTACAATTGAAAAAGCTGTAAATTTGCCTGGTGTAAATGTGTGGTGCGGTTTGTCTTCAAGGGGACTCATTGGACCTTTTCGATTTGAAGGCACTGTAACTGGTATTAATTACCTAACAATGCTTGCTGATTCCATATTTCCTGCCATTCGTGCATTATACGGTAATGATGATTTTTATTTTCAACAAGATGGTGCTCCGCCGCACTATCACAGGGACGTACGAGCTTACCTGGATCAAAATTTGTCGGGCCAGTGGATAGGACGCAGGGGGCCAATCGAGTTTCCAGCACGCTCTCCAGACCTTACACCACTGGATTTCTTCTTGTGGGGCACAGTAAAAGATGAGGTGTACAAACGTAAACCACGTAACCTAGACATTCTTTGGAATGAGATTCAAGCAGTGTGTAGAGAAATCTCATTGGACGTTTTGATACGATGTACAGAATCTGTGGTGACTCGTACTCAGAATTGTATTGATGCTGTAGGTCACCAATTTGAACAGTATTAACATTTGTTATTTATGTTTCATTTACATTGGACTTTCAGCTTTCTATTTTCCTGAAATTTAACTTTGTAGAACGGTAAATAAATTTTCTATGGAAGTTCAAAGTGTGTATACATTTTTTTGAAGCACCCTGTATAATGAGCGATATGGAGACAGTGCATAGCATTCTCTAATAGTGTAGCCTTTCCCTGTCTTAACCTTTTGAGTCTAACCTAACTCAACTTTAATCGAATGATGCTTCCATTTGATTGACCAGGATCATATTTTATTTACGAGGACAACCTGTATTATTATATAAAGTGATTAAATTGTTTACTTGTTTATATGTAAAAGGCTATCACTAGAACTACCAAAACAATTCTAAAAATTCTTTGACTAAAAGAAAGTTATGATATCCTTGATACTGTACTGGCAATTTTTCATTCTGATATAAATTAGCTTTCAGTTTGAAATTTTAATATTTGTAAATCAAAAGGCTAACGAAACGAGCACTGATGACTGGTTTTAAATAAAGCAAGTTTTTCACCAGAACCAATCTTTTAAAGAAACATCCTGGTGACATACAATAGCCTTTTATCTAGATTTCACCTTTATAGGTTGATATCTTCAAACAATTTTATTTGAATATGACTTAAAACATAACGTTTTCTGTAACTGTTAACTGTATATAGTGAAAATCTTTACATTATTCATTACATACTGGTTATTTGATAAACTAAATCAATATCGAAAACGAGGATATTTATACAACTAAGCAAATGAAGTAATTTGTTTACTTGTTACAATGTGTATACATAGAGTAATTTTTATCACTTTCCAAAGTCTCATTTTGTCAAAAAATTAAAATCGTAATACACACGGAGACGAATTATAAGTATTAGATAGCAGAACTTTTTATAGTGGAGAAAACAATAAACGTCATTCTACTTTCTGAAAAATAAGAATGGACACGTGCCCTTTAACCTTTTGTTATATATTCACCAGTCGTCACTGTATACAGGTATGGCGAAACGTCCACCGAAGGCACAGACTACTTACACGGGCGAAAATGCATAATTTGTAACTATCTGAAAACATCACCCCCTTTTTTAAAAGCTTTTTTCCTTTGACAATTGCATGTAATACAAAATGCCTTTATTATCGATTCTTAACTCGCCACTGCTGTATAAGTATTAACTCTTTATACTAATAAAACAAAAAATAAATACAAAATTAATTGCCGTTTTTATTTGTGTATTCATACAAACACTCCTTCATTATCCAAAGTACTGTTCCGATAATTAATAACAAATGTGCAGTTATTTTTTGCATTTACGTAATACATACAACGATAACCTATTGCAAAAGATACAATTTGTAATAACCAAAAGAATTCTCAGAAGTACTTGACTAAAATAAAATGGTGATAACCCGTGGCAGTAACAACAATAATTAATTGTTTATATACTTTTTAGCCTACTTTAATTCATTATAAGTGATTAATTGTGATGAAGAATTAAAGATCGGCTAAACCCGTTTAAGAATTGATAGGTATAGCGCTTACATTTTAATCCATGACAGTTCTCCATATCGAACCGAAATGAAGCTCTTTTTGCATATCTGGGCAAAAGTTATCCCTATTAGATCCCTAGCATGTTAATATCGAACTTAACATAAGAGTATGTCAATCAGAGAAACATTGAAATTAGTCAAACTGTTCTATTTAAAATTATTAAATCACAAATTAACAAATTAGTAATCTGCGGATTATGCATAGTTCGAATAAATAGATCTAGTAAACAATCATTAGACCTGGCAGTATGCCTGTCAGAATGAACATCGAATATAGTATTTATACGTCAAACGTATTAAAATTTGCGATTTTTAATTAAAAGTCCCAATTAAACCACAATATCCTAGGTATCAAAAATAAGGAGAATAGTAAGCTGGTTCGACAATGTGATATAATTAGAGAAGATAGCTGCGTCAATTTGCATTACAAAGAAACCTACGGTAGAACATTAGCTCATTCCCATATTAGTACATTATTTTAGATGTTAATGTGTAAAAAAGAAAAACACTCCATTGTTGGGTGGTTCGGTGTCTATTTATACCTTTTTTGGGATTTCATACTTTAACAGGAAAAACAGAACTCTGTGACCACAAACCCATCCATCCATCTGCTTATCGGTTACAGTCGCTTTTTGAAATAATAATTATCTAATTATATTGACTTACAGTTCTTTTCAATTGTAACACAGAAACATACTTTTTAACATAATTTTTCTTATCTTGAGCCATGTTGATATATAGTTGTATTCTTCTGATATAAATTTTTTAGAAAAATATTTCGAATAATACACAAAGTATTACGAATGTGAAATTTTATCGGTATGTACATACATCAGATTCTGTATAGGTACATAATAAATAAATCTTCGCATGGAAAATACTGTAATTAGACAAATAGTTAGGTAACTATATTTGCTAAATAAATCTTTTGAAATTATACTCCAATGCGTTGTGTTAGCCATAAAATGAAGACGACAGACATCAGACAAACACTAGAAAATAATACATTTCCTGTATTTTCAATTACCACGGTAATGCATTCATTAAGAATATTCCTTTGTAATTAGGTCGACAATGCTGCAAGACTTGTGTTTAACTATAAACAAGAGTTCTGAAAGTTCAGAAAATGCAAATAACAACTGTAAAATGAGTAAATAATAAGTCGATAATTTGAATTTTAATTATGCTTTTTAATCGAAACTAATATACATAGATATATAATATCAAGGCTACTGTGGCAGAGTAAATTTTATGTTTATATTAAGTAAAACTATTTTTATGGTAAAAGTGTTAAAATAACTTTCTATTACTAATCATTGTAACTTCATCGATAGATACTCCTAATGATAAAAAGTTAACGCTAAACTAATGAATAGAATACATTTAGTAAGAATTTTTCTAGCAATTTTATAGAAAATAATAAAAAATAATATTTGTCCTTTTTTATATAAATAGAAGGCTTAATTTGCGTTTATAAATTGAATTGAAATATAGTTAATTGCTTAGTATCATCTACTTCATTATAATTGTATTCGAAATAACTTACCAGAGAGATTATTTTAAATCTAAAATATTTAACCCAACAGATAATATTTAAGATCATGCATAGACAAAATCAATTGTTTCGTAGAACTGTTAAACCTTTTTCAGTAAATGTAAGTTGATGCATTACTGCAAAAGTGTGCTTACATTAGTTGTTGTAAACTTACTGTTTCTTTTTTGTAATATATGTCAACAATGTAAGAGTGAAGGTATTCACGGGTGGAGTCTATTGAAGAGAAAAAATAAAAAAGAGATAAGCTATGGTATAATGAAATTTGGAAAATTTCAAACGTTTCGTCCGAATATGCACCTAACCTTTTCAATGATGTCTCCATTATTGTATTTGAAAGAAAACACCTGGAAAATTTCAAAACTCTGTTAGTACAGGGAGTACAAGGGGCAAACGTTCTAACGCTGGCCCTGGATGAAACTGCCTATTGTAAACTTCCATATACACTGTAAGACGGATGTGTGGTAAAAAACATTTATTGTTCATCTTTTTTTGCAAAATTATGAGACTAAAATTTCATGACTTGGATTAATTAACCAATAAGAAGGAATTTCCTTTATTACGTACAGGAAGTACGTTAAACGTCATTACAACAATCATCAAATTAGCTTCGCTACTGTTGCTTACGACAAATAATACCTACGGGCGTTATTTGACTAATTATATTTTAATGGTTGATTGTTAATGACAAAAACTAAAACGCAAAACATTTTACGACTGAGGCACAATATTTAATGATAAATATGCTTTTTATTTAAATATTGAGTTAAGTATTATAAAAAATTATTCAAAAACCATTACCGGTGTCTTTCTTTCTATATTAATCCCTAATCCATATTCAAAATAATTTAAATTATACGAAACATCATAGTTGAAACGTAGAAATTTTTAAATTTCTCAAAATATTCATTAGGTTAAAAGAATTTCCATATGTGTAAAATGAAAATAACACTTACTTCTATAACTCTTTCTGTTTTTGTAATCATCATCATTATATTATTTAGTAATATTTGAACATCAAAACTTCTGGTAAAGTTTTTCATCATCATCATCATCATAAGGTCATCAGTCCTAAGACTGGTTGGACACGTACCTCCACTCTTTCCTATCCTGAGCTAAACTTCGCATTTCCCTAAAACTAGAACAGCCCACATCTTTAACTATTTGCGAGCAGTAATCTAATCTAGGTCTACCCCTACCCATCTAACTCCCGTTTCTGCCTCTAATATGTCTCTGAGTAGACCTTCATGCCTGAGAAGGTGTCCTACCAACCTATCTCGCCTATTTTTTATTGACTATATAGAGTCCTCTGTTCTCCTATTCTTTCCAATACCTCTTCATTTCTAACCTTTTCTACCCACGATATTCTCATCATCCGCCTATAACACCACATTTCGAAAGCTTCTAACCTTTTCTTTTCCGCCGCTCCCACNGTCATTACAACAATCATCAAATTAGCTTCGCTGCTGTTGCTTACGACAAATAATACCTACGGGCGTTATTTGACTAATTATATTTTAATGGTTGATTGTTAATGACAAAAACTAAAACGCAAAACATTTTACGATTGAGGCACAGTATTTAATGATAAATATGCTTTTTATTTAAATATTGAGTTAAGTATTATAAAAAATTATTCAAAAACCATTACCGGTGTCTTTCTTTCTATATTAATCCCTAATCCATATTCAAAATAATTTAAATTATACGAAACATCATAGTTGAAACGTAGAAATTTTTAAATTTCTCAAAATATTCATTAGGTTAAAAGAATTTCCATATGTGTAAAATGAAAATAACACTTACTTCTATAACTCTTTCTGTTTTTATAATCATCATTATTATATTATTTAGTAATATTTGAACATCAAAACTTCTAGTAAAGTTTTTCAATAAATAAAAAAATATTTCTGTATTTTGCCGTTAATATTGACAAAAAGGTAAAAAATCTATTGCATCGACCCAGAACCCAACCCGGATCAACAGCCAGGGAAGATCCAAAAAAATACGAATTGTTCCTATTGTAGTTTGTGATTGTTTTAAAGCGTTTTTGAATGTACGCGAAATAAAAATCTATTAAATATTTTGTGTTATTCGTTGTTCTATAATGTGTACCCATTTTAATGCTCATTAATTTATGCTATCCATTTTACAATATTGCCGTTGTGTATTATACAAATTAAAATGCTTTAAGCAAAAATGCCTTTACCTGTACTCACAGAAAACATTGTCACAAATCGTCTTCTAAAACAATTCATTCAGAGCTATACGCAATCTAATACACCGAGATTTCTAAATGAAAAATTGAACAAACCAGTTTTACAACTCCGAATTTTAAACTTTCATAATAACTAATTATTTAATCATGATCTTCCTACGCAATATTTTGAATAAAATATGTAGTTACTTACGTAATATATACCGTACGGTCTAACGTTAGGACTACTAATAGCAAATATGTAACTAATGGTACATTTGTGGAGAGGTAAATAAAACGTCTTGAATAATTAACATCTTATAAAAAATTTGAATCCGAACAGATAGAAAATTTAAACAGAATATCTTGCCAAAAATTATTTTGGGCTAGAAAACATTTATAATTCATGTTTGTATAATAATAGTAAGACCCCGAATAAATGTGTTTATGCGATTTTTACGCATTCTTACAATCTAAAAATACAAAAAGGTGTGTATTTGAATTGGTTTATATGTAATTACCAAACGAAAACAGTTCCCTTCCAATCTTTAGACTAAATAGGTATCTGTCGGTAATTGTAAGATAAAGTCGAACTTCTGTAACTCGAAATTTCTTACGATGCAACGGAAGTGTCATAACGGAAACAGAAGCGGAAATAGAAGTACATAGTAAATTTTTTAAATTCACAATATTACAGACGGATCTCTGAAAGTTGGCGCGGATACCTGCACAACCTTCAGCTCTGCAACGAGCAATTCCATTTAAATTGTATTTTGATAACGGCCAAGTTCAGTCAACAGATAAAAGTATTAAATTTTTACTTGTTTTATTGTTCCGATATATTGATTTAAAAAAAAAATGAGAAATATGATTTTATTAAGTACCGATAAGCTTCCGTTATAAAAATGCGGAACCAGATGTAAAAATGCATGCGGAACTTCCGTAATAGCGGAAGCGGAAGCAGAAGTCTGTTGCAACTTATCTCGTCTACTTCCCATTGACTTCCATAACACCCTGTGCTCTTCTACCCTTTCTAATACCTCCTTATTTTTACAATTCTGTATCCACGGTATCCTCATCATTCGCCTGTAACACCACATCTCGAAAGCTAACGATTTCTTTTCCGCTGCGCCTACTGTCCATGTATCTCACCCGTACAGAGTCGTATTATTTTTATACAATACTGTTTTGTCAATTTTATTTAATACCCTAAAAATTGTGCTTTTATTTTTTCATTGTTCCAAGGACTAAGATGTAGAAAATCGATTTCATCTAAAATTTTACTGTTCTATCGATTCATTTTGCGAATGAAATTTCAATATTTTACATTATTATATCATAAGTATACACTGTCGGCGGATTAGATATTTTTTTTAATACACATTTTATTACGTAAAACCGTATTCATAAACAGATAATCAAAATAAGTTACCTACATATTTATTTATCAGAGTAACCGTTGAAGAGGGTACTTAATAAAATAAATAATAATGTACGTAAGTAGGTTTATCAATAATAGTTAACCTATATTATAACAATTCCTAAGCATAAAGCCACAAATGAAACTAAAATAATTTATACTTATAATAAAATATACATTATTTTCGTGATCCAAAATCATTAAATGTGTATTATCGCTTTAATTAAAATGTGATTTCACTTATTTTTCTTTAATATAGGTAAATAAGCATTCTTCGTTAATAATCAAATGCTGATTAATTCATAAAAATTTTGATCGGAAAACCACATATTGTTATGACTGTTTAAAATATCCGAACAAAAAAAAAATAAATAAACGCACCTTTTGCCATTATTACCAATAAAAGTACTATCCAAGAACAAACAAACGGAACTGTACGCAGCAACAATTAAAAGATCACTAACCGAACTCGCTGGAATCTTTCACTGTTGACGCACAAAGTAAGACAGTTTTGATAACGACCAACAATCCAAAACGATATATCAAAACCAACATTCATTTCTGGCATCATTCGGCGTTTTCTGACATTTTTATTTTATATTGTGAATGTTTGATACTATGCAGCACAGTGCTGCGTAGCAAATACACACTTGTCACTCATCACAAAAGAAAAACAGTCGTTACGATTGTACGTAATTTGTATGCGTTGTTTGCACACTAGGTATCTACATGTTGTTTTTTTGAAAAGGTGTGCAAACTGAGAAAGAGAAAAATTGCGTCATTTGCGTACGTAATAAATTACTATTTAATCGGACACATTTTCACAATGTTCAGTATATCTGTACATCTGTTTCTACTCTTCACAAGCGCTAATGCGGTTGACAATTATCGATACGAAAAATGGTTTCAGTCAGTGCCGGATTATCCGCATAGCCAGAATTTAGCAATTGTTGCAGGCCCCTTGCCTTCGAGAGGCCTCGTGCTTATGATAATGAAATGTATCAAGTAATGTGGACATTATACAATACCATCCACCGTTTGTTCAATAAAGACATAATAATAGAAGTGAGCACTGACCGAACCATACACGTTATATCTGCAATGTGTTGCAAATTAACAACATCAAAACACTTACAAGGGACCTGATGCTATTCTGATTCAAGTCTAAAGGTCATCGTATATTGAAGTTGCTTCCTAACGTTTCTCCAGCACGAGCGGCAATCTTCATTCAGTCTACAAGGACCTCTAAGGAAGCTCGGCAATACAAGACGGCATTTAGACCTTAATCAGAACAGCATAAGTTCCCCTATTGATCGCAAAAGTCATTACAAATTTGACTTACAGGGGAATCCCCCAACATTGTGTTCGAGTTGTAATAATAATTAATGGTTATCACACGTACCGTCAGTCGTTTCTTCCACATACAATTTAATTTTTTTTCTAATGTAAACTATTTAAGGATAAAATTTATCTCTTCGTTTGCGGACTATTGTTTTACACCGTGCATTTTTGCATTTCTTTTGTAACTCTTCCCATAGCTATGTACGTAAGTTCAATTTCCTAAATTCATTAAAATTGTGTTTTCCAAATGTACAGTTAGTGTTACCCGAATTCAGTGACCACCAATCCACTTTAATAAACATAAAAATATTGATTTAACAAGCGTTAGGTATCCGTTTTTATTTTAAAGTTTAACACTTCGCATTCGATACAAGCATTGTCTTAAAGCCGGCACTGGTTTTAGCATATCGTGTAAGTTGTTCCTACCGGAAAGCCTTATTACTGTGATATATTCCCACGCACTTTTAAGTAATGCATTATTTAAAACTACCATTGATATGTTAATGTGTTGGCAAATGAATAATACGAAGTTTTAATCTTTATTCAATCCAAGTTTAATAAAATTCTTAAGCTTAGTTTCGGTAATCACTGCCTAGATTAAGAAAAAGATACCGTACAAAAAACATAACATGGAACAATGGACTTTAGTTTCTTTAGAAATGGATAAAACACTGTCACCTACTTGCTGGCGTGCTGATGAGAAGTACTTTTGTTTACCCCGCGTTTATACGCTAGTTGATTGCATCCTTTTACACAATTTTGATACAAAGATTAACAATTACCCTTTAGCATTGCCATTAGACAAAAATTCTAGTTATTTTATAGGCCCTATTGGTATATTTTACGCTAGTTTTATATATAATTGTGGGCACCAGTGACGGCTCGTATTGTACAATCAAAGGAAGGCGACGATTTAGAAAATTCTATGTTCATGGTACTGATAAAACAATTGATTGTTATTAGCAAACGTTTTGCGCCGTTTTTTGCATTGGTCAGGAAGCGGTTTTACGTTTCAAACTGATTGAATTACTACTACTATGCCAACTAACTGTTTACTAACAATTAGGGATGTGGTATTGAGATCAGGGCCGTGTTTAGGGGTTGGAACGAAAGGGGCGCACATTTTTTTCGTTTTATCTACTTTCCGTGCCAGTCGATCAATATGTTATTCTTAAAGTACGCCACATCATTCTCCATAGGTACAAATAGATATTGACTTCAATGCTAACACTTATTAAGGAAATACAGTGTAAACTCTATATAACGACACTTAAGGGACTGAACATTTTTCGGCGTTATAAAGTGTGGTCGTTAAATGGAGAGAAATAAAAGATATTATTTTACTATTCTATAATAGGTAATGTGCGTTTACTAATATAGTACACATTTTGCACACGAACATTATTATTCATACATTGCGTATAGCCTGGTATCTTCGTCTGACGTTTTTTGCTGCTCCAATATTTTAATTGTATTTTGTTACGTATCTTACTCATATCTTGAGATACTGCTGTTTCAACTTGATTATATAAAAAGTATTTTTTTAATAGTTTCGCTGCATCAAGTGCTTGTTTGATGCTTGGTGGAGGGACAGGATAGTCTTCTTCAACAACGTACACAGCTGCAGTTCTTATCTATTTCGGCAACTTAGAAAGTACTGCTCAATGATTAATATGCCGCATTGTTGTCGTTAAAAAGAGTGAGCGTGACGCTATATAGAGTGTAATATTGTATAGAAAGCAATGTAAACCAACCAAAGTCAAGCAATTTCGACGTTTTAAGGAGTTTGTCGTTAAACCGAGTGACGTTATAAAGAGTTTACACTGTATATGGTGAATTAATCATCTCATTGTTTACTCATTTAGATTTTATTTATTGGTCGATATAATAAACGATAACTTATATTTCGCAAGATAATGAAGCAAGATACAAAGTTTTTTAAGAAAAATTTATGATTATTGATGCATTTAGACTTTCGTAAGTCTCTATTTTCAAAGTGAATTGATAAATGAGTTTTAGATCTAGTTCAAAGAGTCCGTCGATAATCGTTAGAATACGCTAATGAAAATAGTCGAATTATTGGGAAATACAATTGGATTGACCAATTGTAGATCGTAGTAAACAAACTCTTTTCGACAAATTTAGTATGTTTAATATTATTTGATTTAATACCTGAAAGCTGATTCAAATTTTCCGGATACAAAATAATAAAGACTTTAAAGATGTTGCGCATTATACATATAATATACTTCAAAATACTTAAGAATAAGAGGTAATAATACAAGTACGATAAACTTTTATAGTCATATAGGGCCACAGTTTATAGTCACACGTATCCATATTCGTACGATGTCTGTTCAAAAAATATTACGAATTTTGTGTTTATTCAAAAATTATTTATTTATCTAGGAATATCTATTTTGTCCTCTTCAAAGTAATCCCCACTAGATATTATACACTTGTGACAACGTTTTTTCCAATCCTCGAAGCATTTTTTGTGATCTTTCAGCTCCTCCTTCGACCCCGTTTTTATCTCCTCAATCGTAACATAGCGTCTTCCTTTCATGGGCCTCTTCAGTTTCGGGAGCACGGAAAAGTCCCAAATCTGAAGAATACGATTGCTGTAACATTGTTAGTGTGTTGTTTTTGCGCACAAGCAACGATGTGTGAGCAGGGGCGTTATCATGGTGCAAAAGCCAATTTTTGTTCTTCCACAAATCCGGGCGTTTCTGGCGAACTTGCGGATAATACTCCTTATTTACCGTTCTACCCTGTGACAAGAACTTATGATGCATCACGCTCCTGCAATCTAAGAAAACTGTAATCAAAACCTTCACATTCGTTAAAACTTGACGCGTTTTTTTGATCTTGGCTCGTGCGGCAGCTTTCATTGGCATGATTGAGCTTTGATTTCTACGCCATTACCACAAACCCATGATTTGTCACCAGTTATGACCCTCTGGAGAAAATTTGGGTATTCGCAGACAGAGTCCAACACCTCTTTATCAATATTAATGCAATGCTGTTTTTGATCGAAATTGAGTAATTTTGGTATGAATTTCGCGGCGACCAGTGTCACCTCCAAATCATTGTTAAAAATCGAATGGTAGAAGTCAATCTATATGTTTAGGTCCGCAGCAACTTCTCTAACGGTAACTCGATGATTGGCAAATACTATTTTATTCACTTCGTCAATGTTTTCGTCTTTTGTTGACGTGCTCGGGCGTCCGGCATGTCTTCGTCCTTTTCATATCTGAGAACATTTTCTACCACCGATAAACGTTGCTTCGATCCAAGGTAGCTTCACTATATGCCGCAGTTAGGGTTGCCACCTTTTCAGGCTTTTCATAAAGTATTTCTCGACTAAAGCGTTAAAAAAAAGTACTCGGCATAAAAATAAAGTATTTTATTTTTTGTTTTTAAAAACATATTTTTGTTACACCTAGCAGCCAGTAACAAATTGCTGTTGCTCTTAAATACATTAATAGCCTCTAAACATCGCAAACAAAGATTTAAGTAAACTTAAAGTTCATTTTTAATTAGTTTCAATGAAGCTTTATTCCTGTCGTCCCGCCACTATGCGTTCATAATAGAGAATACTCTTTCTGTAAATGATGAAGTGGCCGGAACGGACAGCAAAAGTGACACTACTTTGAACAGATTTGGGAAATCAGGTTGTTCCGTAAATATAGCTTGCCATTTTTCTGTGCAATATTATTAATGTAAAAGTACTCTGAATTTGGAATAATCGCTTACAAAATTACGATATTTACTTAAGGCCTTAAATAAAGTATTTTTGCGTACTTTATGTGTCTTGTAACGTACGCACAGTCGAAATAGAGTACAATACTTTATAATAAAGTTCGGGTGGCAACCCTAGCCACAGTTAACTTTCGGAATGCTTCCGCGTTTAATTTTGTTTTTCACACAATATTGGATATAAATTCTTTGATCCATTCTTTAGAATAGGCAAAAATCGAAGCCGAAAACAGGTGCAAACAGAGCAGCTGTCAAAAATTAACCGAAAATTCAACATGGCCCAACTTGTCGGTATAAGTGAGAGACATGAGTACCAGATAATGCCACAAAAAAAAATCAAAACTCGAATATACGTAACCCGCGGAAATTTAAAATTCGCGATACTTTTTGAACAGACCTTGTACATTATAAGGAAATACTAATTTATCAATATCATATCAATGTTTTTCGATCTAGGAAATACCATTATGGTTAACCAGTATAATTAACCAGAACAATAAATTATTTTTGTTCTTCTGAATTTAATGACTCAGTTGTACGCTTTTCGGGATAAACTATTATAAATGAAATAAAATTGTCTGCAATTATAGGTGATAATTTATAAAAGTTACGTAAGGATTACACAATAAAAAGTCAATTTTATCAATGTTAATGGGACGAAAAGTTAAACAAATTAATTGATTTAAAATAGGTAGATACTCTTCATTCTGTGTCATCGCTATCATCGAAGGGTTCAAACAAAAATCTATAGACAACGGATGAAAATACTGATCCCACAGTTGGTCCGACCCAATATATCTTAAAAGAAAATAATATGCTGTTATATACTGCTAATCCAGATATTTTATAGGGACTGACGAACGTTTTAAAGAACTTAAAAACAGTGCTAAACTATTTCATGGTATATTAAATCCTATGACATTGGCAGTCACTTAATAGTGGATTAATATGCAATATTAATTTGAAATCTTTTTTTCGATTTTTTATTTACCCACAACAAACTACCTCAATTTTTCCCTCATTAATTTGAGGTAGTTTGTAGTGGGTAAATAAAAAATCGAAAAATCGGTTGTCTGTAAAGTCGGTTTACTGACGATAGTTGAACGTGACAACGTCATAAGAAAATACTGATGAAATGGTTTCATTTTTCAAAAGAAAATTTTAATTTTATTTGTTTGATAGATATTTTGTATGGATATAGAGAAGGAGGTAAATGGAAATGTATTATTGTATAGCAGCTGTCCACGCGGACGCATCGCTCACTCAAGTAGGAGAGAGACAGATGTCGAACGCTGCCGAACGCGGAGGCCGATTGTGCCTCTTTGTCGCTCGTTCCGCGCTCTCGCTTGCACTTCAAGCCTTAAATGGAACGCCTCAGAGCGAGGTAACGCCGCATGAGTCATGTTTTTTAGTGCGTGCAGCCCGCTCCATCGAATTATAAGACGTTGTCACGTCAAAAAATGATTTCAAATTAATATTGTATTTCATGGTAGTTAACTATCTATACTAACCCAGTGAGCCTTCCAAGAGTTATTAAGCAAAGCTGGCCCAAAACTTCTTGCAGTATTCATGCTTGCTCCTGAGAGAGAAGCCTGCGAAATAATTAATTAAAAAATAAAATAGTTACTGAATAAAGTAGTACAAAACAGTTGCCGCACTCCTTGCACAGTAACGTAACTAAACTGCGATGAAGAAAAATTGAGAAGCATTAATTGCAAATTCTGACATTTTCTGACTGTCTTTTGAAATTGGAATAAAAATCTTTTTCGTCCTTAAGACATCTTATGAGTTTATATTCGTCCCTATTACTTACCCCAACCGTGGCAAGTGCTGCAATTACCAGACCAAGTCTTATCGAAACGGAATCCATCCATCCAGCGCTTTTGGCATCCCAAACGGCCCCGCATGTAAATATAAGTGCTGCAGTCATGAGAATTTCTACTAACAAGGCCTATTTACGTAAATAATAAAGATAAGATGAAAAACAGAAAGCGATCGTAGAAACAAATTAATAAATAGTCCCCTACTAGTGGAATAGCTGCTTAGAGGAAATAACGACATGACCAAAATAAAAGTTTTTTAGGATTTCAAGATACAGGGAAACTTGGTTATAACAACATCGATTGTAACAACTCCTCTGACTTAAGGATGTTTGGGAGGTATGTCAAAATGCTACGAGACAAATAAAAATTTAGAAGAACGTTCCTCATTCAATTCTAAAACTCCTGTAAAAATTTCCAAATCGATTCACTAAACCGTTAAAAAGTTATTGAAATTTTAAAAAATTCTAATTTTACACGTCATTTTATGGAGATTCGTTAACCGAACAGATTAAATTTATTTTTATTAACAGAAAAAAAGCTACCAGAAATTTCAAACTTTTATAATAAGTAACTTGAACTCTGGAGAATCACTTTAGCGTAAGGTTATTCAAATTCACTAAATGGTTATCGAGGAAAAAATGAAAAATTAGCTGAAAATCTCGTTTTTACTTGATAATATAATGATAATATTTATAATTGTCTGAAATAAATGCAATTTTAAAGTTTTAATTATTATTTAAACATATTAAAAAGTTTTACGCTCATTATTAATAAAGATTGAAACTAAATATTTTTTTGTTTTGATGTTGAAATCAAGGCATATTCACTGTTTTGGTCAAATTCCAAATTTTCTTTCAAACCGTAAACTTTTTTTAGTATAGATAGTATTTATTTACCTCATGATATGCTGCAAAGCCTAATTAATCACGAATTTTTAATTTTATGTACTCTTGTCTCCGATTGTACCTCCCAAACATCCTTAACGTCAGTTTTTAGAGTAATAATTTATCTTTCTGATAGTGACACAATCTCAAAAACTGTGAAACTTTTATTAAAATCAGGTCTCAGCTAAACCAACCTGGAGACAAAAGATTACCAAAGTTTTTGAACATTAAAAGCAAATTACTAAAGTGCTTCTTTTTCCATGATTTACCTGATAAACTTCTAGATTATCATTCATTCTGTTAACGCAAAAATGCTGGTCGCGATACATGCCAGGAAGAACGATCTGAAATTAATCAATAATTATTCCTGTTTTTGCTACACTGAGTGTAGTAGTCATGTAGGCACCTACCAGGAGCAAGGCGTAACCTGCAATTGCCCCACTAAATTGTGCCAGGCAGTATACAATAGCCCTTAAAATATTCAGTTTTCCCAGAATGACAGCTGCTATGGTAATTTGAGGATTTATATGAGAGCCAGATATAGGAATAAATGTCTAAAACAAATTATGCATCACTTACGTTAGCATACATACTAGTATAAGTGGAGAACTGACCTAATTAGGTAATTATCCAGAATTGGGGCTGCAGACCAAAATCGCTTTTAAATTTTTTTCATCGCTTACCGGTCATTCTATATAATAGAATTAGATATTAAAAGGTGCGGGAAACAAAAAAAATTTTTGAATGATAATTTCTCCAAATTCAAATAACAGTTCTAAACTGTAAGTGAGGGAGGAGACGAATGAGGAGGTCAAGGGCGGAAGGAGGGGTATTTAAAGTTATACTAGCTTTCAATATCCTTATCTTAAAACAACATATGTTTCCCCCGCCTCAAATATAATAATCGATGAAATAATTTTTGGAGCGATTTTGGTATGAAGCCCCAATTCTAGACAATTACATCATCAAGATACTACTCAAAATTTAAAGGTCAATAAATCGTTTTGTTTAAGGTGAACACCGAAGTTCACATTTCTATAAATTTTGGACAGCTATCTCAATAACATAATTTAAAAACAAAATTGGGCACTTTCGTCCTCTTAGTGATGAGCAAGTGTCAACTATAATAAAGAAAATGCAATTTTCATTCTTACCATCAGCGAAATGAAAGCCGCAAAACCGAAAGAGAATGCAATGAGATGCACTTGAACAGGTGGCTCGTACACAAATTCATAAACCGAACATCCCAAACATCCAAAAATAAGAAGAATGCATGAACCAAAGAATTCAGAAAAAAATAAGGTAATATAAACGAACACCTTTTCTGAAAGTAAAACTGTCAGATATGTTCTTATATGAAGAAAAGGATGAATTTTCATTAAATAGTAAATACATATCTACGTGAACCAAATCATTACTTTTAGTAGGCTTCTTTATTTCCATGCCGGCAAAATGACGACCTTCCGACATTTTGAAGACAATGAATAAATTATTCTCTGAAAAAAAAGAGTCTTATTGTATACTGATCGGTGTATGGAACAAGACTTCTAAAAGAGACAACATATTCTACAACGGTATTGTTGATGAGAAACTTTTTGGCGATTCCAACCGAAAAGGGTAATTGTTTTTTAATTTTTTTATGCATATTTATCCCCTTGTGTTGGTGCATATGCTCCGGTTATAATTTTAAGCTGTTAAAAAAAATTTAACCCTTCCGGTTAGAATCACCAAAATATTTTTAGGCATTCGTAAGAAAGTATGTGGTAGATATTTTAAGTCAGTTGGAGCGCTTTCCTTTTCGGAAACTAGCACAAAAAAAATTAAGTCGACAAACAGAAAATCTTACAGACAACTTCAAATTGTCTCTGCTTTTCATTTTATATAATGTAATCGTAGAAAGACTCCATAAAATGATTCTATTTGTTATTTTTTACTCACGCGTCTGCTTTTAGAATTAAAATTAATTTTAGCTGGTGTTGATTCAGACGCAGGTACGATCTATAGTGACTGTACAGAATGTTAGGTATACAGTATTATTTATAAAGTAATTTACCTTGATTGAATTCGGTTTAATCCAAAAAAAAGATTAAAGAAAGCTGTTAATACCACACTGCAAGAAAATATATAAAATATACGTATAAGATGCCTAAAAAGACTACGAAGTGTAAAAATTGACTTTGACAGAAGACGTATAGCAATCTTGATTAACTAGTTACTAAAAGCTACTACTATTTATGCTTAACTCTACGTTTATATACTATAATATAAATGGAAATAGCAGAAATACATACATAAAAAAATAAACCCGAAAAAATTGATGTGCAATCTTAATCTTTCCAAAACCGCCCAACAAAAAAACATTTCAGACCTTGCAGGATAATTATAATAGGTACCACACTGGAATATTTCAAGAACTGTTAAAATTTTGTCATATACAAAATACTTTGTATTGTTTGTGATATTATACAATTAAACACCAACAATTTAAATTCTTGCGTCTAGTTTTACAAAAAAAAAAACCTTCGTTTTCATATTTTTTTATTATTTTATTTACAAACATTAAAAATATTACTTATGTGTATAATGTAAGTGTTTATGACTTCACTGGTTAATATTAAAAAGATCATGATCATCCTCAAAGTCTATCTTCAACTACAGATTCTGTTGTTTGCTCTCTATCCATGTCGTCAAAATGTTCGAATAAAAATCTATAAATTACAGCTGCTACGATTGATCCAAAGGTAGGTCCAACCCAGTAAACCTTAAAATATTTCTTTCGCTTAATATATTTCTTTCATAAAATTCCGACTAGAATTTTGAAGGGGTGCAGGTAGGGTTCCTCGGTGGGTAGATTACCAACCATGAGGTTGCCCCTTAGGACAAGGAAGGGGCATACAACGCCTTGCCGCATTTGTGCTTCATCAGGAATGCCGCATGTGGCTCCCGATAGAAAAAATTGTTGCTACCCCTTTAAAAATTTTTAGAAAAATGATCTTTACTATTAATGAAAAAAATGCAACATTGAATGAGAAATATATTCTGCCAATGAGAAACTGTTCACTTTTAGATATGTAGCAACAGTATAACACACATTATTTCTTTACTTTCGTCTGTAACATTAAGACAAACCATTTTTTATCAAAATCTATGATTTTACAGATAGTAATATTATTATTGTTTGCAGAAACTGTAAGTACTTTTCTCAATATTCAGCATCGCATGGATACGTATAAAGGGATTTTCTTTTTCCTAATAGTTTTCCACAAATTTCAATACAATTTATATCTCCATTTTGATGAATATATACATATATCACATATTTGTAAAATTTGTTTGCTCTTAAGTAAGATCGTGTTATTGAGCTCTTTTGTAAACAATAATACTTTAAATTTTATCGTTTTACTGTTGTTCGACTTGATGCGTCTGGTTTTAGTTGCTTTATAATAACAATATCAGGAAGTACACTTGTTGGTTCGTTGCAAATGTAAAAGATTTCATTGAAACGATGACATATTTAGACAAGAGGCTTATTATTATTACAAGCTTTTCTATTTTTAAACGAATTTGCATCGAGTCCCCAAAAGATAAATTTAATTGTAAGTTTATATATGTGTTAAGTTTGCCTCTTAAAACCCATATGAAGAACCTAATATAAGGCAATCCTCATTTTAGTATCACCACATTTTTTGGTGCGATTTTCATGAAGAATCTACCGGGAAATCCCTATATTGGTATGCCCTTCATTAACCACATGAGGCTCGCACGCTAGATGGGGCATACTAAAGTGACCATATTTTTTTTGTCAAGGCGGGACGTCTGTTGTAGAATTATGTAAAAGAACAAGTTCTTTTTATTAAAAAAGGGTAAAGTACGTTATATTACTGCTAGTTAGGCTGTATTTTATATTTGTCGGCTGAATGAATCTTTTTTAAAACCTCTGGTTTCGTTTTTAGTTACGAATTGACCTCAGTACACGATTTATTTATGTTAATCTATGAAATCAAGATGGCTTTCAATACTGAGATTTTCAACTGTCCTTTTTTACTCGTCCATGTATTGTTCATTTGAAAAAAGACTCTTTCGACAGGTGCGTTGCTTCCATCCAGACACAAGACGTACTCAATAATTATAGAAAAGTTTGTTAAGTGGATATTGTTTGGTCTGTTTGCGAAAGCGGGACTTTTATGTCCCCGCTGGGGACAGCGGGACGGACAGCCTGAAAGCGGGACGTATGGTCACCTTAGGCATACCCTTTATAAATTCTAGTCGGGATGTTTGTACTTATTCTTAGTTAATTAAATTGCTTTTTACATAGATACTAACCCAATGATTTTCCCAAAGATTATTTATTAAAGCGGGTGCGAAGCTTCTTGCTGAATTCATGCTGGCTCCGGTAAAAGGGCCCTACAAAAACCAAATATAAATAAACAAATGAATGAATAGTAGAGTAAACCGTTGATACAATTTTTTAACAGTGAAAAGCAAATTTGAGTGAAAGTTTCAAACCAATCAAGTACAAATTTCATTACTATTTAAAGTACGTACCGCCACCATCGCAATGACTGCAATGATTAATCCAAGTCTAAGAGAAATCGAATCAATTTTCCTGGCATTTTTGGCGTCCCAAATGCTAGCACATGCTAAGGTCAACGTTGCTGTAGATATTATTTCCACTATCAAACCCTACAATAGAGGTAATTAAAGCATTATTTGCATAAAGCCAGTGCGGTCTCTTGATTTAAAAGGAAGCATACGAGTTTACCTGACAAACAGTAATATTTCCATTTACAGTATTCAAACAAAGTCCATTACGGTACGTTTCGTCAGGAAGAACAGTCTGTAATTAAATAAATTGCATTACTAAAGTCTTATATTGTAATTTCCACTTGTAGGGAATGTTTATTACATTTTTGGAAAGTAAAATTTAAATTTTTTGTCTTCATCAATATTACAATTATATTGACAATTTTTAGAATCCTCTATGAAATAGAACTTATCAATACTAGTCCTCTTGTTAAACAATTTTTTTATTTAGGAGAAAATTAATTAATTAATGGTTTCTAAATCGCAGTGTCTAATAAATAAACATAGGCTTTCACGGCCGGCATTTTCAATAGCATAATCATTTGTTGTTGGCCTTTCTGACCGTTGTATTTAAAAATTATTTTTTGAAATTTTGTCAAAAAAAACAAACGCAATTGAAATTCCCATCTAGTGTACTGGTATAATTTGCTTTTCGTATCAAATTTTAAATGCTTATTGAACACCCAACGGAATTATTGGTCATTCCAATGATAAAATAAATTAGATATTTGACATTTCTATTGAAATTCTCCCATAAATTAAATTTATGATAACTGGATAAAATTTACCCATAGTACAACGTAACCAGTAGTTGCTCCACTGAATTGACCCATAAGATAAAAAAAAACTTCCAGAGGTTCTGTTTTTCCTAAAATAAGGGACGCCATTGTGAGTTGAGGATTTATGTGGGATCCCGATATGTGCCCAAAAATCTGGAAAATATAATGTACCATATATAACAAGCTCAATTTAATAAAAAAAAAGAAAAATTATTAAGATCACTTTTTTCCATTTTCCAATAAATTTTCCTAATTATAAAATGTTACAGTAACGTGTTGTTTATTGCGGAGTCCGGCAATTAAATTGTTTAATCGTAAATTTGGAAAGTAAAGAACAATTTGCTACTTTATTAGTATCTATACAGTATAACACAGTCGTTGAAAATCAATGCCCTACCCCTACAACATTCCAAGTTTTCATTGTGAGGTGCGTATCCCTAAAACCTTTTTAGAATTTTCTAAAAAATCTTTTTCACTACATCTAAAAGAAATCCATTTTCAATTTTCTTTTTTCCTTGGAGTGAATTAATTTTAAACGATTATAACCTTCTACCTACTACAGTTGTTATAAATAAGCTTATAATATACATATATGTGCAGCCTTATTAGTATTGTTACTCCGTCAAGTACATAATTAAGATTCTAATTGCATTTTACTGCAAAAAGAGCACTTTATACATAGAGAAAATTGTTTTAATTTGTTGTTCTTTGCATACTAAATTACAAATTACAGCCGCAGAGTAACAGATAAACACAAATGAATAAAAAGGGTACAATTGTAATTGAATATTAAACGGTTTACTACGTATTGTTTTTGAAAAGCTATAACATGCAATTAGAAACTAGACTTTCTAATAAATACTTGTCTAATCATTTATATTTTAAATTAGATTATTTTTCTTATAGTTATAATATTTAGAAAGATTACACAAGCCTTTTTACTATTTACGATTAAAATATCATAACTACCAACAAAAACAATTTTATTGGATGTTAACATTAACCTTTTCATTTTTAATATAATTAAAAT